CCTCCTCCTCCTCCTCCTTCTTCTCCTCTCCCACCTACTCCTCCTCCTCCTCCTCCTCCTCCTCCTCCTCCACGGCAACGGTATAAAGAAGGACACCACTTAACAGTCAGTAGACTGTGGGTCGTGCTCTACGTGTTTTGTGGTAAAGGGAGTTTTATGGGTGAGGCAGCACGCTAGACAGTAAGCTGACAAAATGAAATAAAATACTGAAGTTGCCTGGATTTATGCCGAAAGTCTTATCCTGCGACAACGGAAATGAGAGTAATAAGTAAAAAATAAACAAAAAGTGAGTTCTACAAAATAACGGATTTTTATTTAAGGTGTGAGGTCGTGGGAAGTAATCGCTGTTGGCAGTGAAATTTCCGAAAGAGCCTGTAAATGTATGTCAAGCTAAAACCACATATGGCACGATCCACAGTCTACCGACAGTTAGGTGGGGTCTTTCTCTATACCGCTGCCCACTGTTTGCAAGTGTACGGTGAGCCTGGTAAGTGGAAAATAGACCTTCTTAAGGCCTCCCGTGGTCTTCAGAAGGTGGTGGGGCACTCGTCTGGCAGTCCCAGAACTGGCGTACCCTTCGGCAAATCTCACATGAGCAGCCCTGATCGAATAGAGTTCATCGGTCTTCAGTAGACGCGTCCACCTTCGGCCTCGAGCGCAGCCAATGTGTTGTTCATCGGCCTAAGAAGCGGAGACCTTCACGGTCTCGAGATTCTAAGGCTGGAGCTGGCAATTCCTAGCCAAACACACAATCCCAGACGGAATAGCGCAAAGGTCGGCGGTCTCAGGAGCCGGGGGGAAGGTTAACTACTCTGACGGTCACTTTGGATGGTCGTGGCTGGTTGGCAATCACTTTCGACGACTTCTGGTAGTTCTGCTGATTCGTCGAGTGGATGAGAGGCTGCAGAATCTACTGCCGGCCCAGCAAAGTTTCCTTTTTTTGCCGGAAAGGCAGACGATGTCCCAAGGCCACTTGAGGCCACGGGACGAGATGTCATCAGCTTGGACAGACACCTGACATTATCTGGGACATCCTCCCCCGGCCTCGTCAAGCTGATGATGCGACAGTGAAATGCGCCCTGTCTGTGATTGAGACTTGACAGCAGCTTCTTCAGCTCTGCCGAAGTGTTTTTTTTCTCCATGTCTCAGTCAGAGACTGTCGGTTGGACTATCGCGAACGATGATGTCCACCGTGTGCCTCTCAGAATGGCGGGCGAAGGGCCGTGAATTAAGCGGAGATCAGAATTTTGTGGCGGCAGACTGGTGCAGCATCTGCCGAACTTCCTCCTCCCTCATCCAAGCGGATCCTGTAGCAGGACCAAGTCAGGCCGATGGTAGGTGGGATCAGGTGCAGTGGGTGGCAAAGTTAAACGATCCGTCTACGCGTGCCACGCATGAGCTGGCCCTCTGTGTAGTATACCAGGCGTTCACGAAACCAAGGTGGCGGCTCGGATCACATCTGCGTTGGAGTGTCATAGAAGCCACAACGCGAAGGGGCAATTACTGTCTGAATCCCATAATTTGGCAGTCCTCCTTGCCATGAATTTACAGTAGGTGGGCTAATTCAGGAAATAAGATAAATTAAGTAGTGTTGTAAAAATAATCATGATGCAGCATAAATCTATAATGATCCAGTTACCTCTGCGTGTCGGTTTTAGAAAGAACTTATTTTCGACTGCATGCAAGATCTATACTCTGCAAAAAATGATTACATATTTAGCATGCAATTTTCTCACTGATTTTCGATACCCTTGAATATTCAATTACATTTCATGGAAAACATGCATAAAAATATTCATTCTTTTACTTATTCGGTAGAACATCACGCCTTCTTTCAATTTCATACTCAAAAGAAGAGTATAATTCGGTTTCCGAAAAAGTTTCCAATTGTGAGATTTTTAATACCGTTAAATGGCCGTTCATGAAACGTCATTTATCTGCATTCACGAATGTGGCTTGTAAAGTTAACAATATTGCTCAAATCCACTGCTTAATTTTATGAAACTCATATGGTCTCCTCTTAACACCGTAGAGAAATGCATGGTTTTCCGTACACGGAAAATATACAGCTTGTAGTTTTGAAACCCTGAATGCAAGTGTAACAACAGGTCGGGTTCAAAATTATTCGGGAATTAGAAAAGTTTTTTAAAACCGCATTATACTCTTCTTTTGAGTATGAAATTGCGAGAAGACGTGATTTTCTACCGAAGAGGTAAAAGAATGAATATTTTATGCATGTTTTCCATGAAATATAATTGAATTGTCAAGGGTCGTCGAAAATCAGTGAGAAAATTGCATGCTACTTAAGTAGTCATTTTTTGCAGAGTATAGACCTTGCATGCAGTCGAAAGTAAGTTCATTCGAAAGCCGACACCCTGAGGTAACTGGATCATTATAGATTTATGCTGCATCATGATTAGTTTTACAACACTACTTAATTTATCTTTTCGAAACGAGAACGCAGTTCGAAATTTTGGTTGACATTTCATGAGTTAGCACATCTATTGTGTATAATAATTAAGTTACCTCAGGATGCCAGCTTTCGAATGAACTTCCTTCCGGCTGCATGCAGAAACTATACTCTGTAAAAGAGTATACTTACGTAGCACGAGTTTTTCTCATTGATTTTCGATGCCCCCAAAAGTCCAATTAAATTTCATGGAAGACATGCATAAAAATATTCATTTTTTGTTCATTTGATAGATAATTAAGTCTTCTTCCGATTTTATACTCGAAGAAGGGACATAATTCGGTTTTAAAAAAGTTTTTAATTGTGGAACTTTTAAATACTGTAAAAAGGCCGTTCATACATCGTCATGTCTCTGCATTTACCAATGTAACTTGTAAACTTGGCAATATGGATCACATCTACTGCTAAATTTTGGGAACACTATATGGTCCCCCTTTACTACCATAGAGAAGTTTGTAGTTCTCCGGACGCGGAAATTAAACGGTTTGTAGTTTGGTAATCCTGAATGCAAGTGTAACGGTAGAGCGGGTTCAAAATTATTCGGGAATTGGAAAAGTTATTGAAAACCGAATTATGCCCTTACTTCGAATATAGGATTGGAAGAAGGCGTCATTTTCTACCGAATGAGCAGAAGAATGAATTTTTCTATGCTTGTTTTTCGTGAAATATAAATTAATTTTTAAAGGCATCAAAAATCAATGAAAAATACATGCTATTTAATAGTAATTTCTGCAGAGTGTAGTTTTTGCATGTGGGCGGAAAGAAGTTCGTTCGAGAGCCGGCATCCTGAGGTAAGTAAATTATTATAGAATTATGCTGCACAAAGATTAGTTTTACAACCCTACTTAATTAATCTTTTCAAGTCGAAAACACATTTCAGAATTTCTGTTGACATTTCATGAGTTGGTCCACCGACTGTAAGCATACCATACCTATTTAATAATGAAACCTTTGCTTGAAAAACACTGAAATTAACATTCGAAATAAAAACCTTTGAAAAAAATCATAAATTTCGGAAGACACCAAAGACTGGTATCAAATAAATAAACATGATTAGCATGAGTGTACAATGCACGCACCATCGCCACAATGAATTTTTATACCTGTTGTCATGAAGCATATTGTGGAGGCATTCCAGTCCCGCTAGGACGCCAACATGCAAATGCGCTTTTTTCGGCCACCTGAAAAACCGCACACGGCAAAAAAATTATTTATGCAGCAGGACCCTTAATTGATTCTCTATATCCTTAGATGTTTAAATATATTTTACAGAAAACATACCCCCAAAAAATATTCTCTCTTTTACATTTTTGATAGAAAAACTCGTCTTTGTAAAATGTTATACCCGAAGAAAAGATACCTTTAGGCTTTTAATTTTCCGAGTTCCCAAAGGTTTTGAGCTCAGTCTGTCTCTGCATTTTATTTTAGGGCTTTCGGCCTAAAAAATTGCATACTTTCATGCAAGGGAACTTACATATTTCCCTAAGGCGTTAAGATGATACGATACAGGACTCGTAAACGTTTTCGATGGATTTGGAGCATTTACAAACGGACAGATGTGATGATATATAAATGGACATGTCACAATCTTAAAAGCCACAAAACATTAACTCTGGAAGTCGAAAGACATTCCCTCTCCGAATACTAAATTTTGAGGACGTGATTTCTTGTCAGATGAGTACACTAAGTTATATTTTTGGGCGCTTTATCTATGCGGTATATCTAAACTTTAGAGACATGCTACTTCCCTGCTACTTGTACAGTAATTTTTACCGGGTGACGTTTTTGCAGGCGACCAGATAGAGGCGCACTTCATCGTGGTGCGACTGGAATATCTTGGAAATATGCTGCACGATAGTCATCTTACAAGTCCAGTTAAACAGTTTTTCCTAATCGCGAACTCATTTCAGAATGAAATTGGTCGCAGACTGTACATTTACAGTATGACTACTGGGAAACTGCTTAGCCTTGAGGGAGATTTCTGAAATGGCCGGCAGGGTTCTTAAGTGAATTGTTTGACTGAAGAGGACTTTATTTGCCTATTTGGTTGAGAAGTCATGTAGTTAAAAGTGCCTGCAAGGTCACTTATCAAAAAGCCAATGAAAAAGTGAAGAATCGGATTTTATTTGACTAACATGCGGGAGGATTTCTTTAATGAAAGTACTGGACTCCCTCTGACAACAGTAGCGACAGTTAAGTCTCAAGGCCTTCTTGCATTGACAGTAGACAAGGCGCTGTCTTCGGTTTTTCTAGTCTATGACTAGAAAAGAGAGGTTCTACACCTTATAGGCATCAAAACTTTCAAAACGAGGCATTTCTGGACCTTGTCCACAGTCGATTGTTTTGGCCGTACTTGTAGGTTGATCTCAACAGGGAACCTCACCGCGAAGAATATGAACTACTGACATGAAGGTCTGTGACAAGTGCGCTTTTTATCAATCAGTAGTAAATCCCCTAGGAAGATTTTTCTGGAATTTGCCTTCTCGTGACATATCGCGGAGTACTGACCACCTTCTTCGCCTTCTTCAAAGAAAAGGTAGGCGGGAAAATAGAAGGATTTTCCGCTTGGACGCCCTTGCTGGAAGCGAAGAAGGCCGCTGATACCTTTCGTTGCCCATGTTTATCTCACTCATCCCCTCTATTAGTTTAAAATGAGCGACAGCAACCTTATAAATTTTGAGATATTTCAACCGATACAGTTGTGAAAACACGGCTGCCTCAGTGGAATTCGAACATAAAGTTGCAGCACAAAGCCCGAGTACAGCCAACGCTCCAGTCATGGGTTCGAAACCCATTGAGTTCGAAGGGGAATCATGCAAATCTGCCAAAAACACCTATTGACGGGGATAGAGTCGTTTATCGGATTTGGTGCAGTTGCTGTCAAAGCAACTACGTCGGAGAAACCGGAAGACAGCTCTGAACGAGAACGGCCAAATACGCGGCAGCGGTGCGGGGAAATGACGCTAACTCTCAAGTTGCGGCTCATTCGATGAGATCCGGCCACACATTCAAATTCGACGAGGTCGAAATTCTCGCAAGAGATGACAACCGCGTGAGCCGGGAGTTACTTGAATCATGGTTTAATGGCTCCCAATCAATTAACAAGTGCAATGACCTTCCCCTTCCATACTCAGTGCTGGGACTTCGCCTAGGCGGAGTAATTGGCCACGCGGGGAGCGCACAAGTTAACACTTTTCCCAACACCAGGGTCGGTCGATCAGATGATCGAGCAATCATCGCACCAACACCCAACGCACATGATGAAATTGCAGCAATTATCGACTCGAATGTCGGCCATCAAACAGTTAGCACACCAAGTGCGACGATCCCGGATGAAGGGAGGGTGGGCGTGAATATTCATAGGTATGCGGTAGCATGGCGACTGCATCCTATAAATACCGCAGCCCTTTGTGCATGAACCACTCGTATCTGCCTTTGTCTCTGATGATGGATTCGAGTAGGAATCCGAAACGTCAGGCTAATAAAGCTCTTGTCCCAGCGATCGTGTCTCCTTCTTCCTGACGGGGATGTGTTTCTTAAGCCTTTAGCACGCACCCCGATTTGTCTCTAAACGGAGTTCATGCTGAAAGGAAGTTTGACAAAAAAGTCATACCAGATGTCTTAACTTGGCAGACATGCTGTCAGATACTTTGCGTTTATTGCTAGAATATTTGTTTACACCCAAAAATCATTTGCACGAAGTATTACGTGTTAGCTGTCGGCGTTACTGGGATCTTGCTCTCCTAAACTGCTCCAATTTGTAAATCAGGGTTTTTGTAGCCGAATCGGCTCCTGTTTTTTCGAAAATGGAGAGCTTATTCACATCTTGCCTTACCAGATTAACGCGGCCTGAAAAACCGATGTTCAAGTTCGCGGGGGCCGTTTTCGGCAGCTTTTATTCTTTAGATTAACAACTTCTCCCAGACTCCGGTGTGGTCTACGATAACCAGTAGTATAGGTACAGTTCGGGCGTCGCATGCATGAGCAGCATCTGCCAAACCCTCTCCTTCCTCACCTACCTGACTCCGTGTCAAAAATGAATCAAAAAGACCAGTGGCGGGATCGGACGCAGTACCTGATAAACCTAAACAGCCCGTCTATACATGCCACACGGACTTGTCCACCGCGCGCATTACAGCATGCTGAATGCATGATCGTGTCTTGCGTAGCATCTGTCGAATTCTCTCCCTCGTTATCTATCGGAGTCCTGTGTCCAAATGAGTTAAGAAGACCAGAGGCGGGATCGGACGCAGTACCTGATAAACCTAAACAGCCCGTCTATACATGCCACACGGACTTGCTTCGCCCAAGATGGACCAGGCTTCCATAGAAGTAAGAAGTGCCGACTTGAATTCCAGTCGAATAGGAACATCATAGAGGCGAAATCCAGAAGAATTCATTGCGCTTTGGATATAACAAAACATACATACAGGAGGCTACTAACGATTTCCTTCGGTAGTTTTCTTATATATATATATATATATATATATTAAAGGTATTATACCGTACTCCCGACCTAGATACTTGCTAAAAGCCCAGACACGTGTTTCGCCGATATTCTGCCGCTGCGTGACACAGCTGCGAGGGGTTCGGCTCTTCAGTGGGACCCCCAGCGTTCTCTAGCGGTTTCTGGTATATGAACTCCAGAGAATAATCAGGTGAATAATTTCGGAAATTAATCAGTGCAGAACTTGGAGTTAAACCTCCAGGTGATATATATATATATCAGGAATGGGCGCACACCGATCTATTGGCTTCACAAAGCAAACAAGCTCCGTATGTGTGGCAAAGGTCACGAACAGGCAACCAATTACCAGGCCGAAGTCGTCCCTCCTCGCTGCTATTATGACTTGGCCGACTTCGGCCTGGTAATTGGTTGCCTGTTCGTGACCTTTGCCACACATACGGAGCTTGCTTGCTTCGTGAAGCCAATAGATCGGTGTGCGCCCATTCGTGATTGATAAATACCCGATCTGCAGCGACAGAGAATGACAGGTGGCGAGGCACTGATGAACTTCGGTTCGATGAAGTGCTTATGACCCATCTGGTAGGCCTCAGTGGTGGACCGACTGCGCCAGGTGCGTCTGTGCGCATGTCTGTGTTTCTGGTCCCAACTGCTGGTGGTCAGGGTTATGATTGGCTGAATGAAGGCAGAATAAGCCCGAAACAGTGCTGTATCAATCTACCCGCATTCTCTGTCGTCCCTCCTCGCTTCTATATATATATATATATATATATATGTCAGGTAATCGTGTGACCCTCACTGTTGCGGTTAGCATCTGCGAGGCACTACGCATAAAGCACACACACTCCACATTTGCGCGAGAATACCAGGGGTCGCTTTGAGAAAGAGCCTTGACAGTCCGGCTCTTAGTCCATCAGTCCGCCATTCCACACAAACACGTACAACTGGGCAGACTGCGTGGACTGATTTGAGGCGTCAGCTGACAGCCTTCAGAGCCACGGCGCATGACGGGCCGTGATATTCTTAGGCTCGGATCACACCGCTAACAGAGGAGCCGCATGGAGAAAGAGTCGAGAAGCACACTTTCCAATTGCGTGACCGAGGATGCCCACCGTGTGCTCCACAGAAGATTAAGAACTGGAGCGTCGACTTGCGCAGCATCTACCGCAACCTATCCTCCTCCCGCATCTGAGCCCGGTATCATGACAGTCAGGAAGACCGGAAGCGAGAGAGGCCGCAGACGGCTGGCACGGCGAAAACCCGCGCCTAGGGGCACCACCACACCCCCTGGCCTACAACGTACACTGACTAGGATTTACCATCCGAAAAGGAGACGGCTCGGATCCTGCTGGAGGGGAGAAAAGTAAAAAGTAAATTAAAAGTCTGACTCTCATTTCACGAGTCGGTCAGTCTATAAAAAGACACAACTGGGCTGACTGCGAGGTTTAGCTTATCCCGTCTGCTGGCGGTCTGTCAATCACCGTGTGGAATTATGCTCTGAGATTCGGCTCCAATCACTCTATTCTATCCGGTGCACTAGTCGACTGTCCGAGTCGGCCAAATAACTGGCGATGAAGTTGGGAGAGGTGACTGACAAAGCTGAGGACAAGTCGTCTGCGCGTACCACACACGCGACCTGTTCACCTCACACACACACACAGCAGGATTTTACATGCGAGGTGTAGATCGCTCGGGCCTCACTTGTAGCAAAGGAGCCTCGTGGAGGAAGGTGCCGAAGAGCACATTTTACACTCACACGAGAGGTGTCGGATGTTGGCGTTGTTCATGCATGTGCTGAGGAGGGAATCTGATTTTCTACCGAATAAGTAAAATAATGAATATTTTTATGCATGTTTTCCATGAAATATGATTGAATTTTCAAGGGCATCGAAAATCCATGAGAAAATTGCATGCTACTTAAGTAGTCATTTTTTGCAGAGTATAGATCTTGCATGCAGCCGAAAATAAGTTCTTTCGAAAGGCGACACCCTGAGGTAACTGAATCATTATAGATTTATGCTGCATCATGATTAGTTGTACAACACTGCCTAATTTATCTTTTAGAAACGAGAACGCATTTCGAAATTTTGGTTGACATTTCATGAGTTAGCACATCTACTGTATGGACATCGCACGGTCTTAAAAACTTCATACTTATAAACTCTTTTAAAACCGAAAAATAACCTTCCTCAGGGTACAAAACATAAAGATAATGTGGCCTTCTACCAAACAAGTAAAATAACGCATATTTTACGCATGTTTTCTATAAAATATGTTAGAATTTTTACGACCATCCAAAATCCATGTGAAAAATGCATGCTATTTAAGTAGTCGTTTTTTTACCGAGTACGGTTTTCTGCGGAAGGCCAGAAAGAAGTGCATTCAAAAGCCGACATCTTGGCGAGTCCGAAATACCATAATTAATATTACAACACCACCTTATTAATCCTTTCTAATCGAAAACACATTCCAGAATTTTGGCCAACATTTCATGAGACCGGCCACGCACTGTAAGGTCAGGTTAGGGCCGAGTCCACATCGCTCGATGTGGGCGATGGTGAGTGCTGTTGTCGGTGGACTGCGGTGGTCGCCGTCGCCACCGCCGAGATTGCGGATGGGGATGTCGGTGATGGACGTCGGCGGGGCACACGGACGTTGGACATCGTTGATGAGGTCGGCCGCTGTAGCGGATGCCGTGGGGGTTGGAGTAGGTGTGGTAGGAGAGGTGGCGGTTGGGGTTGTCTGGCTGGCTGGTGCTGGAGATGTCGGACGGGGCCGATCCACGCGCGGGAATGTTCGTTAAGAGCGGGGGCATGTTGCGAGTGGCTGAATGTTGACGTTACCCTGGCAACAGCCATCCGACTGGCTTCCCAGAAGGCCGCTCCAGTCTCCTCTGGGCCGGTTGGTTCGCCCAAGTCTTTTGGGTTGATTTGTAGCCGTTTCAACGACGAGTTTGACCTCCTTGTCGGCGGACACCCACAGAGAAATTTCCGTAGAAAAGTTGCTTCGGTAGGCTCTCATTGTCCATCCTCACGAGCTGGCCACCCCTTTGCAGTTGTAGATGTCTCATCATGACGGGGATGCTGAGGATTCTAGTCCGATCCAAAAATTCCTTGTCAGGGGACTTGTCCTTCCACCATAGAATAAGGATTTTACGGAGACAACTGAGATGGAAGTCATTGAGTATCCGCGGCTGTTTCTTGTAGGCTGCCCGAGAATTCGCTCCAGTCAGCAGCGTTGTCAAGATGGCACTTTTTCCATCACCAGAGACCAAAGAAGCAAAAACGGTGGTTGATGCACAAGGGGCTGCGGTATTTATAGGATGCAGTAGCCATGCTACCGCATACCTATGAGCATTCACGGCTCCCCCTTCATCCGGGATCGTCGCACTTGGTGTGATCACTGTTTGATGGCCGACATTCGAGTCGATAATTGCTGCAATTTCATCACGTGCGTTGGATGTTGGCGTGACGATTGCTCGACCATCTGACGCACCGGCCCCCAGTCCATCAACAAGTCCAACGATCTTCCGACTCCATACTCCGTGCTAAAACTTCGCCTAGGCGGAGTGCCAAGCCATGCGGGGAGCGCAGCGGTGAACACTTTTCCTAACACCGGGGTCGGTGCGTCAGATGGTCGAGCAATCATCACGCCAACATCCAACGCACGTGATGAAATTGCAGCAATTATCGACTCGAATGTCGGCCATCAAGCAGTGATCACACCAAGTGCGACGATCCCGGGATGAAGGGGGGTGGGGAGCCGTGAATGTTCATAGGTATGCGGTAGCATGGCTACTGCATCCTATAAATACTGCAGCCCCTTGTGCAACAACCACCCGTTTCTGCTTCTTTGGTCTCTGATGATGGATTCGAGTAGGAATCCGAAACGTCAGGCTAATAAAGCTCTTTTCCCGGCGATCATGGCACTTTTTATTACCATGAAATTTGTAACACGATGGAGACCGTGATAAGTCCACGCGGAGTTCTGCAACCGACCTAAGACCTGGCTTTGTATGGTTGGCTGGGCCACCTCTTTGTCTGTTTTGATGCAGCATGTGAGTGCGATGCTTACGCAGGCGAAACTGTCCACGTTTTTGAGTTGGCTGCCGTTGACATTGATTCGAGGAGCGCGGTGTTCCCTGTTGGATGACAGTTGGTGCACGATCACCATCTTGTGCGTGTTGTTGGTCAGCCCGAAGTTTGGGCAACTGGAGGCGAAGAGTTCCATGCTCCGTTGTATGTTAACTTCTGTCGCGGTGTTGAGCGTGTAGTCGCCCGCGAAAAGCAGATCATGGACAGTAGTAGTGGAAAGAAACATTGAGGCCCGTTGGAGCTGGCTATGTACAGTAGATGTGCTAACTCATGAAAGGTCAACCAAAATTTCGAAACGCGTTCTCGTTTCGAAAAGATAAATTAAATAGTGTTGTAAACCTATTCATGATGCAGCATAAATCTTTAATGTTCCAGTTACCTCAGGGTGTCGGCTTTCGAAAGAACTTACTTTCGACTGCATGCAAGATCTATGCTCTGCAAAAAATTACTTAAGTAGCATGCAATTTTCTCATTGATTTTCGATGCCCTTGAAAATTCAATTATATTTCATGGAAAACATGCATAAAAAATTCACTCTTTTAATTGTCCGGTAGAAAATCACGTCTTCTTCCAATTTCATACTCAAAAAAGAGTATAGTTCGGTTTTAAAAAACCTTTCTAATTCCCGAATAATTTTGAACCCGACCTGCTGTTACACTTGCATTCAAGGTTTCAAAACTACAAGCTGTATATTTTCCGTGTACGGAAAACCATGCATTTCTCTATGGTGTTAAGAGGAAGCCATATGAGGTTCATAAAATTAAGCAGTCGATGTGAGCAATATTGTTAACTTTACAAGCCACATTCGTAAATGCAGATACATGACGTTTCATGAACGGCCATTTAACGGTATTAAAAAATCTCACAATTAGAAACTTGTTTAAGACCGAATTATACTTTTCTTTGGAGTATGAAATTGGAAGAAGACGTGATTTTCTACCGAATAAGTAAAAGAATGAATATTTTTATGCATTTCTTCTATGAACTATAATTGAATTTTCAAGGGCATCGAAAATCAGTGAGAAAATTGCATGCTACTTAAGTAGTCATTTTTGGCAGAGTATAGATCTTGCATGTAGCCGAAAATAAGTTCTTCCGAAAGCCGACACGCTGAGGTAACTGGATCATTATATATTTATGCTGCATCATGATTAGTTTTACAACACTACTTAATTTGTCTTTTCGAAACGAGAACGCATTTCGAAATTTTGGTTGACAGTTCATGAGTTAGCACATCTACTGTAGATGGCCTTAGGTTCGGCAGGCGATGCGGATCCGGGGCGTCCACCAGCATGTCAGTAAATATGAGAGGCGAGTACGCCCAACTCCATCGGCTCGTTGTCCCCAATGAGTGCCATTATTCCGATGTGGAGCTGACGTATCATGCGTGCGAATCGCTCTGGCCAGCCAAGGTTCTACGGGACTTTCCAGAATCCACCGCGATTCGCCCTATCGAGGGCTTTCGTCAAGTTCACGAAGGCAGCGTAGAGGTCCGCATTTCCCTTGCAGTTGGCGGACGGAGGAGTTCATGTTAGCGGTTTCGCGTTGGCGTCGGAAGGCAAACTGACATTCTGGCAGAATTCTAGACGACCGCTAGGACGGTTAAGGAGGGTACGAGCGAAAGTCTTTCCGACGATGCCGAGCAACGAGTTTCTTCTGTGGTCATCACTGAGTTGCCAGTTCCCTTTCCGTCTGTAGATGACTGTCTCGTCAATGAGGTCCTGAGGAACTCGTTTTTGGCGCCACGTCGCCTGGAATAGCGTTTTGCGTTGATCCGTCAGTCGGGGACAGCCGTGCATGCAAGATTCAGTCGCAGCCACCTCAGATTCCGGTGCTTTCCCATTGAACCGTCGGTGCATAGCTCGAATGGTTTCTGGAGAGGAAGGCAGGAGGTCAAAATCACCAATAGAAGCAAAGAGACAAATCCCAGGAAGCAGTCTTGAGGAAGGAGACACGATCGCTGGAACAAGGGCATTATTAGCCCGACGTCTCGGATTCCTGCTTGAACCCATCATCAGAGACAAAAGCAGATACAGGTGGTTCATGCACAAGGAGCTGCAGTATTTATAGGATGCGGTCGCCATGCTACCGCATACCTATGAATGTTCACGGCTCCTCCTTCGTCAGGAATCGTTGCACGTGGTGTCATTACACCAAGACCCAACGCACGTGATGAGATTGCAGCAATTAACAACGCAAATGTCGGCCATCAAACAGTCATCACACCACGTGCAACGATGCCGGATGAAGGAGGAGCCGTGAACATTCATGGGTATGCGGTAGCATGGCGACTGCATCCTATAAATTCTGCAGCTACTTGTGAATGAACCACCTGTATCTGCTTTTGTCTCTGATGATGGGTTCAAGCAGGAATCCGAGACGTCGGGCTAATAAAGCTCTTTCCCCAACGATCGTGTCTCCTTCCTCAAGGTCAAGATCGTTGTTCGTCTCCATTTAGAGAATCCGGTCGATGGCGGTGTCGGAGACTGTGGATGGGTTACTGAGAGCACTTCGGAAGTGCTTGAGCCATTGCTTCAGAATCTGCGATTTTTCCCTGAGGAGTGTTGTTCTGTAGGAGCTGAGAAGCGCCGGGGTTCCTTTTATCTGTGGGGCCGTAGATCGCCTTGAACGAAGCGAATAATTTCTTTGTTTCATTGCAGTCAGCATGTCCCCGTACTTCCCGGCCTGGCGGGCCATCCAAGCGTTCTGGATCCTCCATATTTGATGATGCACGAGGCAGTGATGCTCCATGTAGGCTTATGCAGTCTATGCTCTCAGTGAGAAGGTTACCGATGCCTGCGTCGTTGTCATCAAACCAGTCCTGATGGTGACATCGCGCGCGCCGAGGACGTCCAAGGTAGCCAACTAGATGGCATTCCGCCGTCGACACCAGCAAGTCTCTACGGTGGAATTGTCGCCCGGGGTCGGTGTTGGGCTGATTGCTGAATTGTATTCGATGAGCAGCCGAATTAAACAGGGCAGCACTTAACTTACTGGCGGCCTCTTAACCTGTGGCCTCCCACACGCGTTGCAGTCGGAGTCCCATCTCGGAGATGACGAAGCGGCGATCCACTCAGCCCTCGGCGTCTCAGATCTCCTTGGTGACCAGCACGTCCTATCGGTCTCGCCTCCGGACAAACTGCCAGCGCTGCGGTCGGGGAAAACATCCAGGTCGTCTTCTTTCCCATTAGAGGGCGGAAGAGGTGTTGGTTGGGAGGAGTTGGTGTTCTTTGCTGGTTCACAGAAGGAGAAGACCGTTATCGTATTCAGCAGTCGCTCCCATTAAGACCAGGCACTCCCCTCCAGACGGCGTGGTCTGTCCCGGCACGAGCATTCAAAGTCGCCAAGGGCAACCAGCTTGTCCGCCTTCGACATAGACGCCGAGATTGCGTGCAGGTCTTTGTAGAACTTGCTCTTGGTCTCATCGTATCTAGTTATTGGGGACTGTAGATGCCGATGATGGTGACGAATTGGGATTCACGAAGAGGCAGGCTGAAACTCCTGAGGCGGTCGGCAACGCCCCCCCCCCCCGGGCAGACAGGATAGTCGTCTTACGATGTCGCTCCGGATGACAAGGGCGACGCCTGCGTTGCATAGTTCTGCCTTCGAGCGGCTGCTTCAGAAGAAGGTGTGGCTGACACCCACCTCCTCCAGTTGACCTTGTCCGGAGAACCGAGTCTCACTGCGAGCAGCGATGTCAGTTTTCCAACGACTGGCACCGTCCTCTATTCCGGCCGGCTACTCCTCTAATTGTCTAAAAAAGGAACGAACATCCCAGGTTGCCAAAGTGAGCGGACTCACTGCAGCAGCCAATGGGGTGGGGCGGAAAGCAGGGGAACGAAGTTGTTGTTGTTGTTTACTGTAGTTTTTCGATTTCGATTTTTACCTCCACGAGCCACCGTATACTAGCAGATGGCGTGATTTCCCAGCATTTGTTTAGGCTACCTTTTCTAGCCCCTTCTCCCGCAAGGGGTAAGCAGTACGATTCCTAAGTAGGACTGCTTAGGCCTCCCAGACGACTGCCGAACTCAACTATATGTCACAGTTTGGTTTGGCGGGAGAGCGATTCGAGTCCACCTGGGTGGCCTAAGAGAATGCATGTGGCCCCCTCCGTAGGACTTTTTGAGGTGGAAGGGGAGGATTGATTGAGAACAGAAGTGCCGGGTGTGGGGACCGGATACCCTAATGTGTCTTAGGTTGCCGGTCGAGGTGGTTACCGAGGTGTAGCCGCTAGGCAGGGCCTAGCTTTGGGAAGCCACAAGTGACCGTGAGGAGCGGTCACCAAATGCACGGTGTAACCTCCCGTTCGTGCGCGGACACCACTACACCACACAGAGACACAAACACACGACAGTTCTACCATCGTGACGAATGATGTCCATCACGGCAGGGTGAATGCAGGGACGGCGACCTACCCATGAATTAGTTTGTAGTGATCGTGAACTTGCTCAGCGCCTTACACCCTCTTTCCTCCTCCCTCTCCTGGACCTGGTGCCAAGACATAGTCAAGAAAACCGGAGGTGGTAGAGGATCCAGGTGACTGGCGCGACCGTAGCCACCACATCCGAAAGAGGGGAGCAAACACGCATTAACGGGAAGTTCCTAGTGAAAATTCGGACTCCAACTGTCATTCAGTTCGAAATACTCCGTTGTTACAAACGTACACTGTCAAGAATACTGATTTACTCCGACGCAACACTATGTAATAGGCAGTAGGTAGCGCTTTTTTCGAAAAAAAGTAGCTTTCATACCTCTGAAGAAATCCGAGTTGATGACGAACGCATTGCATATGTGGCCTCTTTCAGAGGCCAATCTTATAAAATGACCGAACTTACTCTCAGTAGGAGGTCGACAGCTGCACGATGTTTATGTCTTGAGACTTGAGCAACCGTTTCCGGCACAGTCTTCATCCTCGATAAAATTCAGACCTCGAAATGCTCGTAGTTCAAAAAATATCCAGCTGACCCTTGCGCTTAACATTCAGTTGTTGACAAAGACTAACGAAAGACAGAAACAGGAATGGTCGATTCACAGTTATTTGTTAAAATCGGGAAACTCTGTTCTTGACTGAAAGTTATGGATTTTTCGTACCCCTATTGCAAAAAGTTCAGCAGACAGGACAGGCTCTCTACACTGTGTGTTTACGCATTAAGCCCTCGATAACAATCGGGAAATGGCACCCAAAAAATCCGCCTAACCAAAGCCTCCTGTCTTACGAGACAGGTG